AAATGCAAAAATCCGAAATCACAATTTTTTGAAGTTTTTGGGGTTCCAACACCCCTTAAAATATTTTTTATTTTAAATGTAAAATTTAAAAATGTTTGTTTTCCTTTTGTTAAAAAAATTCTGGCCTTCACTTATTTCTAGATCGTACATGCAATTTGAGTTTGACAGCACTGGTATTTGGAAAATGTTAACGAAACAAAGGCTAATAATTTAACTTTTCTCATTTTATAACTTGAGCATTTTAATGGATACAAAACAAAAGAAATTTATTAGAAAATTAAGAAAAATTAAAGTTCATGTTTCCGAAAAAAAATAAAAGCGAAAGAAAATACCATTTCCTTTTAGTTTGCGTAATATTCCACTCAGATATGTAATTTCAGAAGCAAGGTAGGGTTTGTTTTAAATTAGAGGATGAAAATTCGGAATAAAGGAAATTGGTTATGCTTTGGTTCTCGTATATACACCGTGACCACAAAAGTCAGTACCCAGTCTTTTTTTCCTCAACCATTAGTCATAGACATATATTTCGAATTAAAGAATATTTTAAATGACGCAAAGACTCATATTTTGACATTTTTAGTTTTAAAGAATCAAATACGTAAAAATTACAGAAATCTTAATTTTTTTGCATTCTTCCGGTACTTATCCTTATAGTTTGGAAAGTTTTATACTCGTTATAAAAAATAAAACACAAAACCTCTTGACTGTCATACAACAAAAATTAACGGAGATGTTTGAAATTAAAATCGGGAATCACATTTAGGGGTAGTACACAAATTGAAGAACGAAATATTTGTATTTGTACTTAAGTAAAAAGGAAATATCGTTTAGAGAAAAGGTTTCTGATGTTTCCAGATTACACAATGAGCATTTCTATGCAGATATTGAAAAAAATTTTTCAATATAATTTTTTTTTTACGAAAAGAAGATCATATTCATAGAATCTTGTAGAATTCGTGTTCTAGAAAACACTAACCTGCTTCAGTTTTGGCTAGTAGCCAACTCGTAATATTATTTGAATTGATTAAAAATGCAAAATATTTGTATCGGAAGCACAAGTAAGTCTTCATCTTTTTTCATCAAAAATTGGCCATTTACTGTGAAAGAACTTTACGTTATGTTTTATTCAAAGTATTGTCCATCACTAATCTTTGGGTTGTCGTAGTGGATCCGTTTTTCTTCACCAGTAACTACACAATGCAAGAAAGAACATTTTCGTTTATACCCGGCAAGGAGCATTCCAGTGATTTTAAACGTTGTGAAATTGCTTATTCAGTCACTCCTAATGTAAGTGCATGTTCTACTTGCATTTGGAAACGAATCTTCATCCAATAATGCTTCTAATTCCTGCGTTTTAGCACACTTTCATCCTTCCGCCCCATTCTTTGTCTTCGACGTCAGCGTTTTTAAACTTTTAAAATTCCTTACTACAACTTCTCGCAAATGAGGCTCATTCGGCTCAAAACGCGACATTCTTGCCGATGCCGATACAAAATCACTAATATTTCAACGTTATGTTTTTATAATACGTCCAGTCTTGCGGTATGACGTTTTACATCGGACAATTTTTACCGTAACTTACTGTTGGCTCTATTTTATGTCAAACGGCTAAGGCTTATTTGTACTCCGATTTCCAGATTATGATTCTAAAGTAATAAAACTTCAGGAGATTATTATTAATATATTTTTAGACTTTGAATACTTATAAATTTCTTACGTGAAAATTCTTTTGACTTAACAAACGTAACAAAAAGTAAAGGGACTGGTAAACCACAAAAGAATAGCCCTGAATCGCAATTAAGGAGAAAAAAATCAACGTCAACTTATCTTAATATCTCAATTAACTGCCCCTCAATGCAAATTCAGTATAACGTCAAAACCTCAAATTCTGAAAATAAACTTCTTAGTCAATTTTCCTCGTACGGGAGTCAACCTTATATGAATTCATTTCTTATAATGGGTACAAAAGCTTCCTACATATGAATATCGGAACCGGAAAAACGAATAAAAAGTAATTTCGTACAAAATTGTATTTTATTTAAAAATACAAAACATGAATCTTTTCATCATTTAAACATTTTTGTAAATGGAAGTATGTATCATTGACCAGCGGCTGCAAAAATAAAGGCAGGGTAAGGACTTACGTGAACACTGTGGGTATGCATCACATAAAGCGATTGGTTATCTTATAAGTGCTCCATGGCCTCTATAATATGCTTTTTAGCAACGTAAATTTAGATTTTAACAAGAAACAACAGTTATTTTTATCAAGCATACGTTGACCTATCTGTTGCCGATGGAATAAGACCATAGGTAATTTTATCATCTTAAATTCCTAGCTAAGAAACACGCTGAATGAGCAAGAATATCTTATTAATTTAGAAGTAATCTTGTTTCTCTTTATATGATATACTAAATACGCCAGTTCGTTTGAAGAAGTCCTGTCCTAACTAGGTAGATGTAATTAATCAATATGAGTCTTCATTCTATCAGGAGCTTAATGAATGCTCACGCGCACGATTACTTACCCAGTACAACTTCATTTACTTCCTTTATTTAATACAGTTATTGGTAAGAAATATTTTTTGGCATTAATTTAAGCAATAATCGCTATATGTTTTTCTTTCTTAAACCATAGCATTCATTCAGTCTCATTCCATTCTATTCGATAAATGTGCTTATTCTAAAACTTTTATTTTTGTTTCATTGGTAAATGCAATCCCACTCGGAGTTTGTTACACAGGTAGTAGCGGACTTAGCACGAGTGCCAGTCCAGCAGTACCATTGTTAAGTCAGGAACTTACTTTATTCTTGGTATCTCTGATAATATTCTTTACAAATTATGTTTATATTTAACATTAAATGCGTTTAAAGATATGTAAATTGACTTAACATTTACATAAAAATTATTTGAATACCTGTGCTTATGCCGTGCATACATATATATTTTATAAAATTAACACATACTCTTCTTTAAAATTAATTAACATTAACAAAAACACAAAAACATATACAGATGCTTTTAAAATTAGCAGGTGTGTAGATTTTACTCATTTGGATAACTGATTGCAACTGAGAATAGTTTCCTTAATCAAACAATTCCCAATTTTCTCTATTTGGTAATACTATGATATTAAATTTTGCTTGAAATCCATAATCTCTAGTAATCTGGTTAAGATATACTGGTTTAAGATATGTAAAAACAAATTGACTATGAGAAAAGTAAGGGGTACATTACGAATGACTTAAAACGAAGCAAACTAGTCTAGATACGTAATAGTGAAAAGGAAATTTTTTCATCTTTTAGTAGTAAATGCGTACGTAATTTCTTTAAATTAACGTAATTTTCATTGTAATCATCTGCACTTTTTATGGGTTGGAATTTTTATTAAAGATAAGTAATAGGATAAGTAATAGGATTTGCTTCTTTGCCAGCCAGTCTAATGCACAGGTTTTCAATTTGATACTGTTTTCAGTTAAGTTTAGGCTTATCAAACAGAATCATCTAGTTACAAACGGTGGTATATAATATTAAACTTTGACTGTTCAAGTTTCTTTTCACTAATCCTTTTGTCATGCGACATACATCCAGCCAATAGTACAAAGGAGTAAACCGCTATACATTCCCCACCTGACTTACTACTAAAAAATATTGCTTTTCTTTATCACTGCCATCCAACCCTGGTAAACACAAATTTCGTATTATCGATGTCATTTCTTCAGTTACATCAAATGTACTTTTGAGTGTGCGCATTGAAATAGACTCTATGTATGCCTATGGGTATGTGTCGCCTACCAGAAGGATCTCACATAAATCAACTGTTATCTATGACAAGAAATTTGGATAATCAAAGATAAAATTAATGTATCGGAAGATAAATATACACCAATTACATTGTTTGCTATAATCATGCATAACAGAGGCATTCCTTTTGACATACCTTGTAATTCTGTTCGGAATGGAAAAGAAATATACCATAATAGAATTTAAGATAAGTGAAAAAAGCAGCCTTAGGTTTGAATAAAACTCCAGTAGTTTCGACGGTGATCACACATAGGTCCCTCTTCCTCAGAAGCTAATAATTCTTGACACTGCAGATCAGACATCATAGCATCAGAGAGAAATAACTGGAAAAAGATCAGAAATGTTTTCCTTCTGGAAAACAGGAACCAAGGTCTGATTATCAATAGAGTTTTATACAAAACTTACGGCAGATAAAAATTTCATTTGTGTCTAAATTTAAATAATTCTCTTCATTCGATGACTGCGTATGCTTGTCGGTTTCCTTTCCTAGCTATATGGCTTGTCCGCTTGATTATAATGCTTAAATCTGTTCGTCGGTTTCTTTTTCTGGTCATATTATTTTCCTAATGATGCTTTTACTGTAATGCATGTATAAAGTCTAAAATGTATATTTCGGACATAAATTCTATATCTTACATCATTTATACTTTTGTAGCTTTTATTTAAAAATTAACGTAACCGCAATTATAAATTCTTGGCAACCTATTCTTATCGTAATGATTTAACAAACAGCGGATTAAACATAAAGCTCAATTTATTCACATCATAATGAAACATTCTTCACATCAAGCGTGTTAATCGTGCATAAAACACATTATCTTGTCAGCAAAAAGCCTTTGTGTAATTGAGTGTCCCAAAATAGTTCCCGATTCCTGATAGGCGTAATTATAGGAGAATGCTTTTCAGCGTGCTTCAGTGCAATTAAATTCCAGTATAATTACTGCCACGAATGTCATAAACAATCCGGTATCGTCCACTGGGGTTGACACATTTCTTTATTGGAGAAAACAGCATCTCTTCTTTTTAAATCTGTAATTGAGTTTTTCAGGCGTGCCTGGATGAAGATTTACCAGTAAAAGAGGTTGGAAATTATTGGGAAATTTGTTTCCCAGTTATTTTTTAAAGCTTGGTTAAAACAAATTACCTTGCTAAAATGGCAGAAAAAAATATATTTATGTCCCTTTTTTATTATTAGCTATCGATGCTTGCAGCCGTGATAATGGAGGATGCTCCCAAAGATGTGATACAGTTATGGGACGAGCAGTGTGCAGTTGTTTACCTGGATTCAGTCTGGAAAGAAATGGAAAAACATGTGTCGGTAAGATTTTAAGAAAATATTTTTAATTTTGCATTGTATGAACAGAACAGAAAGTTATATTTTAAAATAATAAAATTTAAGTATTTCTAGAGTTCATAAACAAGGAATATTTTTTTTTCTTTTTTCAGGCTATTACCTCATATATTCAAATTTGTTACAAATTTTGTTTCTATAATATTTTGTAGAAAATTTTATATGAATGAGAATGTTTTGCAGATTTCAGATATTTCTAAAATGTTTAGTAAAACTAATTTACTAATGCTCGTAAATCTTTTTATGCAAATGGTTTTAAAATTGCCTTTTTAATTGTATTCTTACGCAATTGTAATTTTGACGCAACTTTTGCAGGATTCCAAGATAACTTATAAGGTATTTACTCCCTTCTTTCTGCATGCCTTCGTGGTGTAACATCGGCGCGTATTCTAGAGGTCCAGGTTCGAATCCCGGCGAGGGCATTCAGCATTTTTCACGTCTCCTGCTATAAAAAAATCCTAATGACTCTACAAACTTACGTAAAAATATTTTCACGGCTAGTTTTGTGTTTGAAAATGTATTAGGTGGGAAATAATTATGCCAGGGAGTGATAGAGCTCTCTTTTACATGCGTGGAGAAACGTTTTCATGAAGAATGTTTAAGGGAAATTACTTAGGTTAAACGTGAGAAAATGCACGAAACCCTCCTACTGTCAACTCTCTTTTCTGTCGGAAATAAAACTGAAAAGTGAAATATTACTGTTTTGTGACTTAATTTGTTGAGAATTTTCACATTACCCCGTGCGTGCTTTCGTAATTTAAGTGGTAAGCACGTCCGACTGGCAAGTGGAAGATATGTGGTTCGAATCTCAGCAAGCATACAACTGATTTTTCACGGTAACTGATTCTTCAGTTGATAACTTCAATTGATTCTTCATCGCAGCCTAGTGTTCTTTACAATGGTGTCCGAGCTAAAATGTGCTGAGCAATAACATCTGAATTTGGTCGAGTGGGTCGCTTACCACTTCCCGGTCGCCCTTTCAGTGGGAGAGAATATAAAGAATTATCGCAGTTCCCTATGCATTGTCTCGTGATATAAGTAGTTGATATGGGAATTGGTAACTGGATGATCCTCGGTTTGAATGCTAGCGAAGGCACAGATGATTTTTGTATTTTCTTCATAAAACATTCTAGCGGACTCTACACAGCGAAAGTTTAAAAAAGACTGCGTGATTGTATATATACTCATCGGTTTAAAATCTATGCGGCACTCTGGTATTTGCACTCCAAATTTTGTTACCGTAGTGAAACGGTCTGATTTGTACGAGTATTTTCGTATCTTCCTGGATTATAACTCGAAGTAAATATTCCACCATTATCGCATTTCTAGAAGAGGCCAGGGCTTTCAAATAACCCCCCCCAAAAAAAAGATTATGGTACATTGTTGTTTCGGGAAGTTTCAAGAGATATATTGCAATTCTTTTAATTTAAATATATGCTTTAGGCTTATTCAGAAAAGCTCTAAAGAAATTTTCTTGCATATTTACCATGAGATTATTAATGAATTTTACAATAAAAATATGCTACGCTAAATTTTAAAGACGCAAGAAGTAAGTTAATAAGAATGTTTAACTTACTCTTTATACTCAAAAGCCTACCATATGCTTAATTAATGATGAAAAAAATGAAGAAGCTGAGTTATTTAATGACCATTCATTTTGTATTTTTGGAGTAAAGTAAGAAAACAAGCAAAAAAACAGCAATATTTACAGTAAATTAGAAACACTGTGCTACAAAAAGTATTATATATTTTCACGTTTTGTAAAATGCAAACTCATCATAATGATATTCTCAAGAAGATAGACTATTATTTTAAAGCTAAGAAGTTATTTAAAAAATTTTTAAGCTAGAATGTGTAATATAACAAAGTAAAAGCATATTTTCTCATTAAAATTCATGTTTAACACATAATAACTTTATAAAAAATGTATTTATCAATTATTAACTAGTCTGTCTCTTTACATGAAGTGTTCTAAACATGTATACCAAATTGCATAAGATTTCAATGATACGTTTTAAAGATATTGTGTTTCTTGTTAGCATTAAAACACGAAAAATGAAAAACGAGATAAACGCATTTAAAGAATTCAAACATTCGATTATCTACTTTTAATCAGTTTGTGAACTTAAAATTTCACTGATTCATAACTAATACCCTCTTGGTTTTCAGAATTTACATTCTTTTTTTTTTTTTTTTGCTTTCTCGCAGCTTTTAAAATTTTTCTCTGCTTTTTAAAGCCAAATTCAGGGTAATGTCGTTTTGCATTGTCGATATGGTTAACATCGAACCTTTCATACTTCGTTTGCAGTGTAATAATCCAATATCTATACTGATTTACTATATCTAACCAATATCTATCTATACGTATAAAAATTAATGAATATTACTCAGTAATAAAAAAAAAAAACGCTTATCAGCACAGAATCAAAACACGAGCGAAAATGCGTTAGTGAATTCGTAGCTCACAGCTTGAAAATATGCCAGAAATTTGTTTAGTTGCTATCATAAAAATAATTTTTGGTCTTTAAAATGCAATTAAATAAAGTTTTAAGCCCCCAAAATAAAAGTAAACAACTCTGACACACCCATTTCGGCCTTTTTAATATTTACGTCTTGTGCACTTCCGGTATGCTTTTCGAGGACAAGGTGTCAAATAAAGTATCATAACTCCGGTTTAAATGAACGCAGGAACAAAATTCAAACGGTTTTGGAAACATAAGAAATAATACTTTCATCGAGCGTAAGAACAAAAAAAGGAGTTTTTTTACCAAAATCTCGTTTTCTAAGGTGTATAGTACCCTTAACACAAAGAAATTAATCCATTTTAAGTTATGACAAGCACTACAAAACTGCAAGTTTAATCTGCTCTTTGTATTTGGCCTCGTACAAAGGAAGATGCTAATTATCATATCAAGAACAGCAACAAGGACAGGACATCAACAACTGATTTCTAGTTACTCCTGCTGTGATAGCAAGTCATATTCTCCATTAATATATTTCCGATGCAGTCCTTTCAGGAAGTCGCCAGGGTTGTGTTGTTCTAAATAGGTGCGGGTACCGGACGACACCCGATTTGTCATATTAAGCCGTCCGAGTGTCCGGGCCCTGCATTCACCTGTCACCTGTGATAGCAAGTCATCTTTTATGAAGTTAATAATTTGCGAAGATAACTTCTTGTAAGATTTCATTTTTGAGCGTGTAATATGATAGGAAGTCGGTTTTAGTCAGTTTAAACGTCGCATAAGAAGGCTAAGCGTAATAGTAACTCTAGGCATTATGGCAAAGAACTGCACTTAAGTTTTATCATGGAAGCTCTGATTTGAATTTGTATGTGATGTCACTATCTCACGTAGACCTAGACTACACCCGTAAAATCTGAGCATAGAACCCCTAGTTTTATGGAGTTCCGAAATCATTCTGTAATTTTCCATAACCTTATTTTGTATCATGAAAAGCTAGGGAAGAAAGAGTTCCAGGGCATCAAAAAAAGCTGTGCTAAGGGATCACGATTGTCCTAAGAAGGTGCTAATTAATAATAATGCAATGACATTTTTACTGTTAGCTTTAAATTTCTGAAAATCAGCATTTTCTGCGGTGAAAATAGTCCTGACAGAGAAACAAACTGCACCAGTAATAGAGGTCACTAATTTTAATTTCACTAATTTTACTAATTTTATTTCGTTAATTTTACTAATTTAATTTTAGTAATTTCAATAATTTTACTAATTTAATTTTAGTAATTTCAATAATTTTACTAATTTAATTTTAGTAATTTCAATAATTTTACTAATTTAATTTTAGTAATTTCAATAATTTTTACTAATTTAATTTTAGTAATTTCAAATTTAATAATTTAGTAATTTAGTAATTTCAATAATTTTAATAATTTAATTATGTTTACTAATTTTATTTCAGAAATAAAATTTCCTTTAAATAAAATCTCGCAGTCTTAGGTAACGGCAAATGTGCAAAAACTGTTACACTCAAAGCGAATTATCGCTAAGTCTTGTAAATACCACAGAGAGACATGGAAAGGGTGTAAATTATTTATTTGGTTCAGATAAAAGTTAACAAACGGCACCAACTCGTGCTTACAGAAGCCAACGACTACGACTTAAATTAAAAATAATGGATTAACTAAAACTAAGAAAAGTAAATTAGCCTAACGTCTACACAGCCAGAAGGACGCGAAAGCTGGCCCTGGCCTAAGGTCCGCGTAACAAGTCTAAAGGCGATAATAACGCAACTCCACAGAACACTGCTCGCAATGAAATTAAATTAGCAACGCTGCCTTCAGCAGGAAGAACACGTTCGGATTTCCTCCTTTAAATACCTTTCCTTTAAATACCCACTTCTTTCTACCTCATTTAAATATCATGAAAGCTATAATATTTATATTCTGGCGGTAAAATGGAAATGAGGAAGTTAGAAAAGTTTATTAACATAGCATAATTGCTTAGAAACTAAATGTAAACTCTACAATGTAATTTGCGTGTTATTCTGTCAACCTTGTAAGAGTACCTATTGAGCAACTCTATGGAGATCACTGTGCACATATTTTAGATTTAAAAATTGATAATAGTAATTTAAAATCCAAATCACAGCGTAATGAATCCCGGATGTTCTGTTAAGCAGATGCCTTTTCTAAAAAGACTGGGAATATTGGCTTAGGCAAATACCCCTCCATGATTTTTAGCATAATTAACCAAGCAACCAAATTTAATCTAACGCTTGAAATGTTAATCAACTTTTCGCATTTCTTTTATAATGCACTTTTTAGAATTTTATCCTGTGTAAGATTCAGATGCACTTTTTGGAATTTTATACTTTTTTCTCCGTGTAACATTCAGATGCACTTTTTGGAATTTTTCAGTTCTTTGGAAGCACAAAAGCAAAACATGTGAACTATTAATCTTTTTTTCTCACTTTGTCTTTCTAGGTTACAAATTTACTTGCCTTACTAGGTT